CCCTGGGCAAGCCCAGTTGGGGAGACGAGGAGGAGCAAATAGGAGGAACGAGGAGGGAGGGACGAGTGAGGGGAGAGGCGTCAGTTCATCGAGGCCTTCCACGTTCGCAGCCACGCGGACGAAGAAGATGGCGATGGAGAGGACGCGAAATACCTGGCTGCTCTGCCTTCCAGGCCACGCAACCTGTGGATGTCAGAGAGCGCGCGTGGATGCTCAGCAAGTGCTGGTCGCTGGTCGTCATCCTGCTCCCTGCAAGTGCTATGTATCGGTGCACTCCTCCGATTTCTCTCCTCCTCGTGTTCCGCTTCTTCTTCTTCTCTCATCACTCCCTCCTTGCCCTCCTGTTTCTCTGTGCAGTTCCCTTCTGAGTAATTATTCTTCGTTGAACCGCCAGACTTTTCGGTAGTGCAAGCTGGGCCTTTCGCTTCAGCGTTCTTGGCAAGTGTTTTTCTCAAGCCTGGAGCTTCCAAGAGTCATACAGATGGAGAGCGGCTGGCTTTCAACGTGTGGCTCTCGTTTAGCATGCGTTCCAAACGCCCACCATTGCTACACGGATGTCTAGCCGATTTCGAAATGCGGCTCTCGCTTTGGTTTGTGCCAGTTAGTCCTACAACAGTAATCGATGAGGAAGTGGCTGTTTCAAGATGCGGCTTTTGCTTTGGCGCCGCGCGCATTCGGCTATACGATTGTATTCCCAACAGCAATACTGACAGGCATGATGTAAATGTCAGAATGTGTGGCTCGCGTAGTGGCGCAGCGTACACTCGTCTTAAGTCTTCAACCGGTGCACGTATGGGTCCTTTGAAACAGTGGCTCTCGCTTGACACTTCCTCAGCTCGACGGGTGATGCATTTTCAAAGCTGCAGTGACAGCAGGGCGGGGGCGGCTGTTCTTGTTTCCGGACGTGGTTTTACCAGCCCGGCATTTCCCGAACAATGGTCTTGACCCGACGGCGACAAGGGCGACTAGCCCAGGGGCGGGCACGACGCGCATGCACCGGGGAGCCTCGCCGAAGACCTGGATCACCCGGATAGATTCGGATGCAATTCTTGGGAGATCAAATTCAAATTTTGCCCTGGTCCGAAGTCTGGTTTCATCCGGCTTAGCCCGCCGATTCTGGCTTAATCCCGCTTATTCCCCCTGGATGCGAGGCCCACTCGGGCGTAACAGCTCCCCCCCAATGGGGCTTGATCCTTCCGACGAAGAATTCCCAGTGGTTGCCTCCTAAGATCGATGTCTTGCTCCCCCCTGGGCTATTCGCACCCGTCGTCGCCTCCGACAGACCTCCTGCGCAGCCTCGGGCTCGGGCGAGCGCGGGCGAGCGCGGGCTCGGCGGCGCGGGCCCACCCCCCCCGCGGGGCTCGAGCCGCGGCGCTGCCCGCCGGGCGCGCCGGGCTCACGTGCGGCCTCCCGCGGCGCCACGCCGCGGTGGCGTCTGGCACCTCGGTGCCAGGGCAAGAGGCTGTGCACCCTTAGGGGAACGAACAATGACATGAGCATAAAAGCTCGGAGGTCCGCGCGGATTTCTCGGATCGGCGCTGGGGCCCCCTGGCGGCGCCTCCTCCGGCGCCGCCCGTGGCGCGCTCCGCGCGCCAGGGAGTGGAGTCTAGCGCGGATCCAAGACATCCGCGCGGACCTCCGAGTTTCTATGTTCATGCCATTTTTCCTTTGTTCTAATTCTGGCGGCGGGGTGTGCGCCTGCAGTGGCCACCTGCAGCGGCGGCCACAGCAGCGGCGCTGAGGCACTGGCACAGAAAAGAAGCACAGCGGCTGCTGCATCTGCGGCGGCGCTGGCGCGGGGGCGACGTCTGGCGGCCGTGGCTGTGGCGAGCTTGGCGGGGTCGGTCGCTGCTGCGGCGTTTGCGCGGCAGCGCGATTGCGACGGCGGTTCCCGCTGTTCGTGGCAGCAGTGGCAGTCGTGGTAGCAGCGGCGGCTGCGGGTTCCAGGGCGAGCGCGGGCAGCCACGGGCGTGGCGCCGTTCCCCTTGCAAATGCGGCATGTGCGGGCCAGCCCCTGGCTGGCCAGGCGGGGATGCGTCGACGTTGGGGGGCGGCGACAGCGGCAGAGGTGCAGCGCTGGTGTCGGCGTGGTGAAAGTCGGGGGTGCGACGATGGTGGGAGGGGAGGGGCGGGGAGGTTGACGGTGCAGGGCTTGACGACGGCGGGGGTGGCGCACCAGGGATAGAGAGTGAGAGAGAGTGCGAGAGAATACAACTCCTTTGTGCAGTTCATTCGTTCTGCGGCACACTGAGGTTTTAAGAGCAAGCGTGTAGCTTGATGCCTGCAGCGAAAGCACTTTTTACCATGTTTCACCTTGGTCGGTAATAGTGAAGAGCTTCCTTTCCAGTTGATGCCATTACGCTATGAGTATCTCTCCCTGGCCCCTGGATGTGTAAGTGCTGCACCCTGGGCCCTGTGCTTCGCTCCCCCTGCGCTGTGGCTTCAGCCTGGCGTGGCGGCGCGGGCCTGGACTCGCACGCTCGCCCCCGTCTTGGCCTGCCCCTGCCCACGGCCGCCGATACTGGTATTTTGGGGTTGCGCGGATCCCAGCGCGGCGCGGGCGTGGCCACATGGCGCGGCCCTGGGCCCGCGGGCCCGACGTGCCCGCCTGGCGCGCGCGCCAGACCCCGCGCGCGCCAGTGCCCGCGCAGGGGCGCCTGCGCTGGCGTTCTCGGGCTCGGGCGGCCAGCCGCGGTGGGGCGCGGCCTACTGGCGCGGGCTTGGACCTGCAGGCCAGGCGGCCCTGGCTCGGGCCTCGGCAGCGGGTGGCCGCTTGCAGCGGCTGCCGCGGCAGTGGCGCTGGCGCTGGCCGGGCCACGATGGTGGCGCCGGCGCAGGGGCGCTGCGGCGGCCGCGGCAGTGGCGCGTATGGCGGGCTGTCGGGCGCTACTGCGGCGTGCGTGTGGCAGCGCGAGGAGTTGGCGGTGGCCGGCGCAGCGCTGGCCGTGCGGGCGCCAGCGGTTGCGTGGTCGCGGCTGCAGCGGCGGTTGCGGGCTCTAGGGCGAGCGCAGCCGCGAGCGCGGGCCAATCCCCCGCTGGCCCGCCTTTACCCTTTCCAGTGGGACATGCGCGGGCCAGCCCCCGCCTCGCCCGGGCAATCCCCACTTTCGATTATCCCTAGTTCCTGCGGCGTGCGCGGGCCAGCCCCCCCTTGGCCCTGCGCTTGGCCACCCTGCAGAGGGAAAGCCAGGCATATCCCCCATGCCCGCGGACTGCTCGGGCCTGGACCCGCGGGCCCGACGTCCCTGTTTCGAGTCTGGGCGGGGCCCGCCTGGCGGGCCAGACCCCGCGCGCGCCAGTCCCCGCGCAGGGGCGTCCGCGCTGGCAGTTTTGGCCTCGGGCGGCCTGCCGCCCGAGACCAAAAATGGCTCGCGTTCCTTAAGGAGCAGTGCCGTCGGCTGCCTCATTGTGGCAGCCGCTGCCCGGCTTGCGCGAGGCGTCCCTTTTCGCGCTGCGGCGATTGGCGCCGCCTGGCGCTGCGGGCGAGGCGCCGAAAAGAAGCGTTTGGGCTCGGGCGGCTTTCGAGCTTGAGCTCCTGACCGTCTCAGACGCACTGGATCATCACCAACATCCTCCTCCTCCTCCTCCTCCTCCTCCTCATCATCATCATCATCATCATCATCATCATCATCATCATCATCATCATCATCATCAGCAGCATCATCATCAGCATCCTCATTAGCATTAACTTCATCATCATCACCAGCAGCAGCATCGTCATCCTCATTATCACCATCTTCATCACCATCATTATGAGCAGTTATCATCACCAGCAGCATCATCCACACCATCGTCATCGTCATCAACATCGCTACCCTCATAAACATCATTATCATGACAATCATCATTATGTTAATGCCAGTGGCCATCACCTTCATCGTCATTAGCATCATCGTCATCATCAGCATCGTCGTCATCATCATCATCATCATCATCATCATCATCATCATCATCATCATCGTTATCATCATCATCATCATCAGCATCATCATCATCCGCATCATAATCGTCATCACCAGCAGCAGCAGCGTCATCATCATCATCTTCATCATCATCATCCTCATCATCACCATCCGCACCATCATCATTACATCATCATCATCAGTATCATCATTACCATCGTTATCATCATCATCATCATCATCATCATCATCATCATCATCATCATCATCATTATCATCATCATCACCATCCTCATCACCACCATCAGCAGCAGCAACACCATCCTCCCCCTCCTCATCATCATTGTCATCGTCGTCCTCATAAGCATCATCATCATGATACTCATCAGTCTGCTAATAGCATTGATCATCATCACCATCGTTGTCATCATCATCGCCACCATCATCATCAATACATCCTCCCCCTCCTCATCATCGTCATCGTCATCGTCATCGCCACCGTCACCGTCACAGCCATCGGTTCGAACAGCCGCCACACGTCATGCTAGACTGGCACGGTGGCGGACTTGCTGCAGGAAGCCAGATCAAAATCGCAACCGCCTCATGTTCAGACTTGCCAACATCATATTCATCCGAACCGTCCAAGTCACGATGGCCCCCCCCTATCCCTCTCGGCGTCATCGCATGCGCCAGCTCTGCCAGATGCTCGTCGGAGACCCCAAGAAGCTCTTGAGAGGCCCCAGGAGTCTTCTCAGAGCCCCCAAGCTCGAAGCTCTTCGAAGGCGCCCTAAGACTCGTCATAGGCGCTTTGTCGGCCTGTGGGGGGGTCTGGGCCTCTGCGTGCAGCCGACCCCCTCCCCCACACCTTCTGCCCTACCCGACGATCTATAGACTGGAGCACCCTGGGCCATCAAAATGCCCACTGGGCAACGATAGCACCGGACGAGCCACACAAGCACCTCCTCTCCCTCGTCCGCCCCCCGTCCTCGGCGTACAGTTGGGCTCCGAGGGGGGCGAATCCCGCCCCCCTGTCGCACGGCGGCATCGCCCGCGTCGGCGCCCCCGCGCGCGTTCGCAGGAGGGAAGGGGGGGAGCGGAATGCCGCCGCGGCTGCATACGTCGAGGGCGAGGACGAAGGAAAAGGAGGCCGAGAACACCGTGGTGCACCTGACGGCCCTCGGCCCGGAGGGGCAGCAAGTCCGGGTGGACACCACGCGCTTCGCGGAGACCAGGCAGGGCCGCCCACGCTTCTCTTTTGGGTGCGATTCGATCCGCCCGCCGGGCCCGCGATTCCGATGCGCTTCGAGTCGGTTCGATTCGTCGGGGACGGCCTGGGCCGGCTGGAGCCAGGCGTGAAGGTGCGATTTTCCGATTCGATGCGGGGCGACCCGCTGGCGATCTGATCCGTTTCCGAGCCGATCCGATCCCGCGGCTCGATGCAGCTCGGACCCACCAGGGTGATCCGCAACCAGATCGCCGTGCAGGTGCAGGTGCCCCCCGACGAGATGCAGCTACAGGTCGACGGCGAGGTGCTCTGGGAGGCCCTGGAAGAAGAACAGAGGGCATAGCCACAAGCCTTCGTCGGAGGTCCTCGCGGATTTCCTGGCTTGGCGCCGGGCCTCTCTGTCGGCGCCTCCGGCCCCTGGCACGCCCCGCGCTCGCCAGGGAGGGGGGGCCCAGCGCCGATCCAAGAGATCCGCGCGGACCTCCCACGGCTTCTGCTTCCTGGGGGCACAGGAGGTACCGATGCCGCCACGCTCTGGACCCTCCCAGGGTGCTCTCTGACCTCACCACCTACCAAACCACCCCAACCCAACCCGAAGGCTCAGATTTACCCTCGATTTCCAGTGAGGGGGGTGTCGGGAAACATCGAAAAAACACGTGTGGAACCCTTACCCCCCCCAACCCGAAATTCGGGTCTTCGGGTTGGGTTGGGGTGGTCTGGTAGGTAGTCATGACCAGTGCCCCGGGGAGGGTCTGGCCGTGGCGGCGAGGGCGCTCCAGGACGAGCAGCGGCATCGGTGCCTTGTGCCTCCTCCGGGCGTCTTTGCTCCTCGAGGTCCACGGCCGTCCGTTCGAGGGCTGGGATGCCGACGAGCTCGCAGGCCCGCCCGGGCCCGTGGTGCAGTGGTGGCGCTGCTCGAGGCTGCGGGCGCTCCTGGAGCACCGAGGGCTTTCCGGAGTGAACGCCGTGGGGAGGTTCCCTCGGGTGTCGCTAGAGGTGCCCGAGGTGCTCCTGGCCCAACGTTCCCCCCCAGGATTTCCAAGGGAGGCCCCCTCGGCCTCCAGAGCACCACTCGGGAGGCCCCGAGGGCCCCAGGGACTCCCAACACGGCGCAAAAAGTTGGGGGCACCCCTGCTCAGGGGGCAGGGGTACCCTCAGCACCCAATGATTCTCAGAGGTGGCAAAGGTGACGACAGCGCTTCCTTGCCCTCGCTTTCGCCTTGTTGGACCTCCTGGGCGGTCCTCGTTCTCACCGCTTGGTTTGCCTTGAGATTCTGGTCAGACCGCACCCCAGGAGAGGTCCGTGGAGTAGCAGTATGGGTGCCTTTTGGTTTCCCCAGGTTCGGGCGCAGCGCGCTGCACTTCGCCATCGCGGCAGTGCCCAGGGGGGTCAGCACCAGTCTCGGGCACAATGCAGAACCACAGTCACAATGAAGACGATTTTTCTGGAGGGCCCCTCGGGGGATAACCCACCGGCCTCGACATGAGCACGGTGGTTGTTGTCGATTTGGCCGTCCGCGGACGCCAAATCGACCACAACCATACGAAGCTGGTTTCGGTGTTCCGACACCTCTTGGCATGCACAGGACATTCCCAAGGGTGTGCCCTCGATGTGGTTGTGGTCGCTTGCTGTCCTTGCACAGTCAAGCGACCACAAGTCCGCAACCGGCCACAAACTAAGTCATGCAAGTGCCCCGACTGTGCACTTGCACAGCCGTGCACTACCCCGCGTCCGCTTCCAGCCAAAACTAAGTCATACGACGCACCTCCTCGTCAACACAGCCTGAACGCCGCGGGCCACACAACGGGGAGCTTGGTATTGTTTGGTCCTCGTTTAGGAGCGAGAGCTGGTCAAAAGCGAGGTAGGTTCGCTGGACTTTCAACTTGTGGGGTCGCCAGCTCCTGAGGATCGAGGTTCTAGGATCGCATGTCGAGGCAGTTCCGTGGACGTTTGGGGTCGTTTGGGCTGCCTCTTTGGGGCCCCGTTTTCGAGGAGGAGGTGGCGTTTCCTCAAGGAAAGGCCCCCCCTAGTTTTGAGTCGGGCCTGTCCCTCAACAGGGGGAAAATTCAAAAATTAGTCAAAAAATAGTACGGGGACTATTTTGTTTTTACTATTTTTGAGCTTTTCCGTTTTTTCTGTTGTTGGTATTTATTATTTTTCGTCCAAAATCCCCCTGTAGGGGGACAGGCCCGACTTCACCCTAGTTTGTGATGACCACCCTTGGCATTGCCTGACCATCATCGAGGGGGATTGCTCGCTATGCCGCCTGATAGTCGAGGACGAGACCTTCGAGGAGGCCACGGTGGACCTGCAGGACCAGTTCGGGGACACGCCGCTGATGCTCGCGGCCATCCTGGGCTTCGACGACATCTCGAGGAGCCAGGCATGGCATGAACATCAGCTCTCGGAGGTCCGCGCGGCTCTCTCGGGTCGGCGCCGGACCCCCCTCCTCGGCGCGCGGAGCGCGCCGGGGGCGGCCCTGGGAGGCGCCGCAAGGTGGCGCCAGCGCCGATCCAAGGCTTCCGCGCGGATCCTCGAAAGTGTATGCTTATGCCGTTTTTGTTCCTCGAGACATCGTGTCGGTGCTGGTGGGCAAGAGCGCGTACGTCGAGACACGGAGCGGGGCCGGACGGACGCCCCTGGCGCTGGCGGCGGAGCACGGCCACAGGTCCGTGGTGAAGTTGCTGCTGACCCTGGACGCGAGCGTGTCGCCAGCGTTCGGCGATGGCGAGGCCTCCGTGCAGCCCAGACTTCCGACCCGGTTCTTTCCCAGTTTGCCTACGCGATGTTTTCTTTTTGCTTTTGTTTGTACATCCACAGTTGACAACTTCTTGCGTCCGCTCGACCACTCGGATTTCCACGCAGAACCGCGGGACTGTCCCTCCTCTTCTTCCACCCCCTTTTTGTCGCAGCCCCCTGGGCTCAAGCCAGCTTCCCCTCCTCCTCCTCCTCCTCCTCCTCCTCCTCCTCCTCCTCCTCCTCCTCCTCCTCCTCCTCGTCCACAATTACTCAATATGAATACTACTCTCCTCCTTCCCCTGATGACGGGTTGGGAGTGTTCGCCGCCCCCCCGCGTATTATTTTCTACACACAGGATTCCCCGGAGTTGGGTTTTCGCCTGCATCTTAAATGCTGCTCTCGCTGAGGCGCCGGCCTCATTTTCGGGCCCCGCTCGTTCCGAATCGTGCTCCCGCTGCAGCGCTGGCCTCATTTCCGTGCTTCCGCTCGTTCCGAATCGTGCTCCCGCTGCAGCGCTGGCCTCATTTCCGCGCTTCCGCTCGTTCCGAATCGTGCTCCCGCTGCAGCGCTGGCGTCATTTCCCGTGCCATGCCACGGCATGCAATGCAATGCTAGGTTGCGTTCCGCTGCGCGATGCCATGCCTTCAGCTGAAGCTGTGATATGCAGTGCTTAAGTGCCACGTCGTGCTCTGCCATGCTACGCTTTGATCTTCAACGCCATGCTATGCAATGTTATGTTCGGGGCCGGTGTGCGATGCCATGCTTTGCGTTGCAAAGCTTTGTGATGCACTTCTTCACTACGCCACGCCACGCCATGCTGTGACATACTACGACTACGCTTTGCGGTTGCTCTTCTACGCCATGCCATGGCGTGCTCTACAATGCATCGCGTACCCTTTCGGAATCATTGCCCTGCTCGACATCCGACTGTGCGAGTAGAGAGGGGATCTACGCCATGGTAAGGCACGGGAGGGAGGGGTATGATGTCAGATATGACGCGAGCGCACCTAGCTTGTCCTCCTCCCCCTCCCCCTCCCCCTCCTCCCTCCTCCTCCTCCTCCTCCTCCTCCTCCTCCTCCTCCCCTCCTCCTCCTCCTCCTCCTCCTCCTCCTCCTCCTCCTCCTCCTCCTCCTCCTCCTCCTCCTCCTCCTCCTCCTCCTCCTCCCCCTCCTCCTCCTCCTCTTTTCTACGGAGGGAGGCCCCCCCCCCCCGGGCTCGGCCCCCGCCCCGCCCGTGCGGAGGGAGGCCCTCTTCCGTTCGTTACCGGAGGGTGCCCCCCGGCGGCTTCCAGGAAGGCAGGCGCCCCCAGGGGGGGGGACTCGTGGGCGCTGTACTGGCGCTCGGCGGAGGGCCAGGATGGCAGTAAGGAAAGCGTCTCGGGAGCGGAAAAGAGGGGGGTGATGACTAGGGGGGGGTGGATATCATGGCGTGGGCCATGAGATTTCCCCAGATTTCATGGCGCCTCTTCTTATTTCATTACGTCCCTGGCCCCCCCGCTGGGCCGCGCACATGCCGCGGGTCATGATTTGCACACCCCCCTCTTGGACACCCCCCTCTTGGCCGCTCCCGAGCGTCGTGTGGCGGTTAACAGCGACACATCATAGAGAATCAACGGCGAATCCCTTTCCGAAGGCAATGATGGGAAACATGTGTTGCCGTTGTTCTGTCAGAAGGTGTCACTGACATCACCAGTGATCACGCCTGTGCCGTAGAGCCGCCAGCTTAGGTTCTTGTTTACAATGTGACAGAACGCGGAGCTAACGCTGACACCGATCCGAAGAGGCATCCGGCTGCGGGCACCCCCTTCTGGGCCTAAGATAGAGGAGCACGAAGACGGACAGGGTGGGTCGGCCCCGTGGGGGGATTCCTTCTTCGGGGCTCAAGAGACAGGGGTCAATGCAAACGGGGGTCAGTCAGCGCGCCAGATCTTGCAGGATCCTGCATGGCCAGGGGCGCATTGACCCAGGTTAGGGCGCAGGATCTTGCAGGATCCTGCAGGATCTTGGAAGATCCTGGAAGGCACGACTGACCGGGGTCTGGATTGATGTGGGTCAGTAGACCACCGATTTCTCCCGCCGAGGAGGCTATACTGTCAGCTTGTGATGAGCAATTGACAGGACCCCCCCCTCGGCGCGGGCTGATGAATAGTTCCCGCGGGGCGCGATATTCTTTTTTCTATCACGCGCGCCAGGGGGGAGGAGGAGAGGAGGGGGAGGGATAAACGGGAGGAGAAGGAGTATGACGAGGAAGATGAGGAGAGGATGGAGGAGGATGAGGAGGACGACGAGGAGGAGGAGACGGTGGAGGAGACGGTGGAGGAGGAGGAGGAGGAGGAGGAGGAGGAGGAGGAGGACCAGTAGGAGGAGGAGACAGTGGAGGAGGAGGAGGAGACGGTGGAGTAGGAGAAGGAGGAGGAGGACGAAAGGCTGGTGAAGGAAAGGGGAAGTTGCGAAGCCTGCTGCGCGCAGCTGGTTTCGGTCGCCCCGTCGAAAGGCCAGTCCTCGACGCATGGCCGCTTTCGGCGCCAGGAAGCGCTTGGAAAATCGGCGATGTGAGCTGCTTGGCAAATCCCCCCTTTGCTGCGCCCCACCTTCGTCCAGCCCGCCTTGCCCGCAGGCCCGCATTGGTTCGACAGAAAGAGGGGGCCCTGGCTCGCCCTTGGCTCCAAACTCCGCCCCTTGCCCCTCGTTGGCGGCCGGGTGTCGGCGCTAATCACCGGCGCCGCCCCGTTCATTTTCAATATGGTGGGCGATACCCCGCGATTCGCCCGAGAAGGGGTACTTTTTTTTAGAACGCGCGCCCCCACGGATTTGTTAACCACAAGCTGACATTAGGTGACCTTCCTGGTATCGATGCCGAAGCTTGTCCCCCTGCCCGAGAAGTTCTGGTGCACGGAGGTCCTTCATACCCTGCTGGGGAAGACAAGCACCCGCCTGCACAGTCAGACAGACTGCAGCCGATATGGGCACACTGTATGGGGGCCGCAGGGCTCGCTCCGATCTATTGAGGGTACCTCACCAATCAGCTAGTTGTGCTGCGAAATTGACAGATCAGCAAGTTGTGAACTACCCAATCCAGATTACGCTGACATAGATGCAGGTATCATGGGTTAGGGATTACCCACTGATGTGATACTGAAGCAGTTTTCGGATGCTGGTCAAACGAACGGCACACGAACGCACCATAGTACGAGTGCAACCAGTCGGAAAACTTTGATGCCCCATACCCAGGTCGCCGAGACGACAACCGTACCTGCTTCATGGTACCCCAGAGGCGAAAGTCGTTGCGGCTAATTTGGCGCTGATACTTGAATGTATGCCTGCGATCATGTGGGGGGAAGCGCTTTTGAGGCGCGCGCCTCTACGCACCATTGGTGGGAACAGTCAAACGGTGCGCAAGATGTGCAAAGCGGGGGTGGGGGTCGCCAAACGCTGATGCGCATGCCCCGCACCCATCGACGAATAGACGCATCATCTATAGCTGAGGAGCTTCCACGGGGAATCGTTGAATTTGGTCATGAGAAAACACAACCATAGTGCGGATGCCAGTGCCAGCGAGTTACTGGAACCGACCTTATGGGTCAAGATATTTTGTTTGAGTTGAGTAGTGATCCCGCGGTTTTGGCCTTCCCCCAGACAATCAGGCGTACTTGCAGTTCACGTTCGAAGATGGGCTCCCCCTGAAACCTCTTGGGGGGACACCGTACATTGGATCTTCGTCAGGACCTGGAAGCGGTTCGATCAGGTTGAGGCTAAAACACCGACCCGTGAATGCAACGGAAGGCCTACAAATTTTGGCAGTCGGGCGGCCGGTGGGAGTGAGGCTAGCTACACAAGAGCTTAAAATGGCCGTTCTCTCGAGATGGATCACGACCAGGACCATGAACTGAACGATGTGTTGTTTCGGGAGCCGTTGTGGTTCCACAGAGAGTCCATGCAATTTGCTGTTCATAGCTCTGTTGTGGTGAAACTTGCCGAGTAGGACAGCCTAGGCCTATGCCGAAAAGGGAACTGTGATGTAATAAGCTTGGCCAGAGAGGATGACCTTACCACCGATACGGGTGCTGAAAAAGGCGATGCGCTGTATCCAGGGGGCGGCAGGAAACCACGTTGCCTTGTGAGCCCCTCCACCAAGCAGGGGGGGTCCCTGCGGCAGTTCGTGGCTGAGGCCATTCACTAAGGGGAAAGACATCACACGAATTGTTCTGTGCATCTTTTCGAGCCCGATCGACCCGTGATGGTCCCGGGGGCCGAAAACCGGCGAGACCGCTTGGTATAAAAGGCTGCAGCGCCCAGATCTCAGGGGTTCATGTTTCTTCTCTGAGCCATGCTGGCCGTGGCGAGGGAGGTCAGGGGTGACCCAACGGGCCTCGAAACGATTGCAGGGGCCTCTGGAGGCTTCAGGTCTTCCCCACGCCTCCTCCTCGCCTCCTCTTCCTCCTCCTCCTCCTCCTCCCGCTCCTCCTCCTCCTCCTGCTTTCCTCCTCCTCCTGCTCCTCCTTCTCCTCCTCCACTTCTCGCCTCCTCCTCTTCCTCCTCCTTCTCGTCCTCCTCCTCCTCCTCCTCGTCATCGTCGTCGTCGTCGTCGTCGTCGTCGTCCTCGGAGCCTCGACGGCCGCTCTGCATCACCCAAACATCTATCTTTGTAGTGTGTGTTCGTCGGGTCACCGAGGGGCGACGCGCGTGCGCGCCGAACTCTTACAGCACATGGTCGGTGGTGGGCGCTTTCTGTCCATGCCGCGCGGGCAACGATATGCAAGACGGTGGGAGCTCTCGTCCAGGAATGTGCACAGGAGGCTGCAGACCCTGGAGGATGCCTTGTTCGACGAGGGCGTCGGTGATATCCATGGCCAATCCACGGTTGTAGTTTCCCCGTGTTCCAGACTCTGGATTCCTCATCCAAGGGTTCCTTATCCAATGACCCCCACCGTAGTACTAGTG